TACAAAAACTGTTTCCTGTCTAAATTATAAGTAATTTAAGGTACTTTCAAATAAAGTCTTCATAGCATGTTTGCTCAAATTCGAGTAATTCAGCACTTTATGGACGAAATCCAAGTATGAATTCTTTTTCATCCCTTTTTTAGTCATAAAAAATATTTGCATGTAATGCGTGGCATCTAAATATCGAAAACTTTGTTCAATCAGTTTAAATTTATTTTGTGAAGAATTGAATGTTAAAGCAATGTTTTTAAATATCAACATGGCGAAACATAAAATAAATATGAAGAATGAGGAGTGATATTTATTAAATAAACAAATAATATATAATTATAAAGAAGAAGTACTTTAATAGAAATTGATATAATTTAGATAAAAATTAATGTTACAAGATTTAATCATAAATTGTCCAAATCAGGAACATGACAACAACGTAAAATTAATTTGCTTTGAAGAATGCAAAACAAACAGATTATTTTTTATGTAATACAATAGAGAGGGAATGCCTGGTTCTCATCCTTAATATTAATATGAATTGCCGATTTTATTGGAACATATTGAAAAAGCTTATTAAGAATGTGAACATTTTGTTAATAGAATGAAATAAATCATAGATTTAGTTTATTAATCGTTTAATTAATTAATTGGAGGAATCAGAGAAAAATTTCAAAGTTCAAAAGAATAATTTCTAAACTTAAATTCAAAATAAATGAATTTTTTTTTGAATAAGTAATCCTATTCAAATCCTTTGGAGCTAAAATTGAAACTCAAATTACTAAATCTTCCCAAAATTTTCAATATTAATCAAAATATTTATATTAAGATTTAAACATATCTTAATTAAACTATTGTCAAATATCCAATAGTGATATCCAAAAATCTTAAGAAATATATCAAAAAGGTATCAAAAATTAAAAATTAGGGTATGAATTATGGCTGAATGATAATGATTAATTTGAAGCAATCAAACATTTTGATTAAGCATTAATTTGGAATCCTAAAAATTAATTATCATTGTATTACAAAGGTAGAATTTCTATAATATGTTTTAGCGTATTGTTTATTTAATATGGTCAAATTGATTTATTATAAATAAGGAAGCGATTTAATGAGCAAATTAAGCCTTGGAGATCGATCCTAAACATGAAGACACAATGAAAGGCAAAGGGATATCTACAATTTTAAAGGTTTAGGGATTAGTTTATTTATGCTTGATGAATATAAGGAAGCAATTATTTGGATAGATAAAGCCTTAGAAATCAATCCTAACAATAAATTATCATTGTATTAAAAGGTAGAATCTCTATTATATGTTTTAGCGGATTGTTTAAGACTGCTTAAATAATATAAGGAAGCAATTATATAGGCAGATAAAGCCTTAGAGATCGATCCTTAATATTAATTGCCATTATATTGCAAAGGTATAGATGACAATTAATCAATTAGGGTTGCTTAAATTTCACATGGATAAATTACGTTATACAAACACCAAACTAATATGCAGAAGCGTTGATATTTTATGAAAAATATCTAAAGATTGATCCAAATGATCAGTATGCAAAAATTAGGAAAAGCATTATTTTAAATCTAAGATTAAGTAATTAATTAAAGTTTAGAAGCTTTGAAAATAAAATCATTAAATAAATTTACATATACAGAGATTATTGTTTTAGGTTAACACTTAATAAAAACTAATTATTAAAAATAAGTTTCAATTTTTCAAGTAAATCAACACAAATAAAATTATATATATATGTCTTTTAGTTATTTTAGTAAATTTATTCCTAAGACAAATTTAAGATAAGGTTAGTTTTAACTTTAAACTTTAAAATCACTAAGAATTATTATAGTAGCAATTATTTTTCGACTTATGATAATATCTAATTTTAGAAGAAAAAACTCTTATTTAATCTTATTTCTTCTAAATTGCCTTAAATTTATAATCAATAATTTTATAATTATTTAAGACAATTCAAAAATTAAGCGAAATTTATTTATAGATTTTAAATTTTAAATAAATTTTATATGGTAGCAAATAATTATTAAACATAAAAATTACTGTTTAATAATTCACATAACTTATTCAATCATTATATCAAAGAGAAATGAAGAAGAACTAATAATAAAGCTATTATTGGATAAATTTAAAGTTTTGGAATCATTATAAATTTATTTTAATTTGGATTGAAAGATTGAATTTTTCAATTTATCTAACTTCCAAATTATAAAATAATATAATATGAAAGATTAGAAGTAGAGATATATTAATAAGGCAAGTGAACATATTAGAATCAAAAATAAAATGTTGAAGAGAAAGATATTAACTGGGATATGATGTGCAATTTAACATCTAATTCATGCTTAGTTTCTAAAGAATTCTAAGATAGATTAGAATCTTAGATTTACTAGAAAGCAAAAGAATATTTTATGAGGACATTAATACATTTGTGTATTTTTATTCTAGCAGCTAAAGAATTTGAAATTTCATGAATTGAGGAAATTGTCAATGCTGAAATTGAAAAAAAAACAATCCAATATAATTTCTTAAATCGCTTAACAAAACTATATCTAAAATATATGTAAAATCTTTGTAATTAAAAGCTATATAATTTTATTATTTATCACCGAATTTATGATAGCTACATAAATTTGGAGTAATTAAATTAGTGAAAACTCTGGTTCTTGTTTCATGATACATAGGAAGATTCTAAAAAAGTTTGTAATTTAACAATTTTAATGTAAATAATAATTTGTGATATTACTTATGAATATTTTATGATATTTTCAGGGGGATTGCTGATTGGAAATGAAATCTATTGTAATTAACAAAATTAAATGATTTTGATGCTTTTTTATTAAATTCAAAATATTTTTATTTTTTTATCAAAAAAATAAAAACATAAAGATGTCATGCAGATTCAACTGGTTATTCTATCCATTTTTCTCTGCCTGCTGAGACAATTGTTTCTAGTTATCTTAGACAACTCCTACTAATGGGCAAACCAAAATTAAAACGCTTACAGTAATCTGTAGCAGTATGCCATTTGGGACGATCATCTTGTTTGGCTAATCATATTTTATTGTTCCCATCAATAATAGGATAATAAAATTTATATATAAATAAGAAATATATTAATAAATTGTATATAAAATTTTACAATCATTCAAATTTATTAATAGGAATTATCGAATGATAAATATATTGAGTTTTTATTTAAAACTGATTCAATTTGTTTTCCATCCTCATGATTTTTATTTTAAAGATTTTTATAAATTGCATAACCCTAATAGTATAAAGTTTCTTCAAATCGATTAAACTTTTCTTCTACAATTGCTTAATTGTAACTAAAAAAAATATCATTACAATATATTTAAATTGAATTATCAAAACACAATAAAGCTTCTTCAAACTGATTTAATTTTAATAATAAAATTGCTAAATTTTATTATTAAATTTTTATTTTACCTTTATTATGAAAGAAATCAGCATTTTCTGGGTTACATTAAATTGCACTATCATAATACTATAAGGCTTCTTCAAATCGGTTTTGATTGGCTAATAAATTTGCTAAATTTTATTTTCATTAACTTTTACCTGTATTTAAATAATATGAAGATTCTTGAGGTGCTATTTAAATTGCATAATCATAAAATTATAAAGCTTCTTCAAGTAGATTTAACTTTTCTAATGTAATTGCTTAATTGTCTTATTAAAATTATTTTACCCTTATTAAAATATATACCAGCCCCTTCAGGATTTTTTTAAATTGCAAATTCATAATATTATAAAGCTTCTTCAAAACGATTTAACTATGTTAAAGTATTTGCTTTTTTGTTTTGTTAAATTTTTTTTACCTTTATTGTTATATATATCAGCATTTTCAGGATTTTTTTAAATTGCATCATCATAATATTAAAAAGCTTCTTTAAATCGATTTAACTATGCTAACGTATTTGCTTAAAGGTATTATTAAATGTATTTTACCTTTCTTATTATAGAAATCAGCATTTTCAGGATTTTTTTAAATCGCATTATCATAATATTATAAGGCATCTTCAAATTGATTTAATTATACTAATGTATCACCTATATTATATTATAAAATTTATTTTACCTTTATGATTATAAAAAAGAGCATTTTCAGGATTTTTTTAAATTTCATAATCATAATATTATAAAGCTTCTTAAAGATGATTTAATTATGTTAAAGTATTTGCTTAAACTAATTATTAATATATTTTGCCTTTGTTATGATAGGAATAAGCATTTTCAGGATTATATTTAATTGCATTATCATAATAATATAAAGCTTCTTCAAATCGATTTTATTTTTTTAATGTATTTGCTATATGTATTTTTCGTTAATTTTACCTTTAGTGAAATGAAAGAGAGCTTATTGAGGATATTTTTATATCGCCCAATCACAATATTACAAAGCTTCTTTAATTCTATTTAATTAGGTTAACGGCATTGCTTTATTTTTTTAGTAAATTTTTTTTACCTATATTGTTATATATATCAGCATTTTCAGGATTTTTTTAAATTGCATAATCATAGTATTATAAAGCTTCTTCAAATCGATTTAACTATACTAACGTATTTGCTTAAAGGTAATATTAAATTTATTTTACCTTTATTGTTATATATATCAGCATTTTCAGGATTTTTTTAAATTGCATAATCATAATATTATAAAGCTTCTTCAAAACGGTTTAACTATACTAATGTATTAGCTAAATTCCATTATTAAATTTATATATCACCTTTATAAAAATAAATATTCTCAATTTCAGGATTTTTTTAAATTGCATAATCATAATATTATAAAGCTTCTCCAAAGCGATTTAATTTGTTTAATGTATTTGCTATATTTAATTCTTGGTTTAATTTTACCTCTATTAAAATAATATGAAGAATCTTGAGGATTTATTTATATTGCTTAATCAAAATATTATAATGCTTCTTCAAATCTATTTACTTTGTTTAATACTAATGCTATATTTTTTTAATATATTTAATTTTACCTTTATTAAAATAAAATTAGTCATCTTGATGATTTATTTAAATTGCTTAATCGTAACATTATAAGGCTTCTTTAAATCGATTTAACTAAGTAAAAGTATTTGCTTAATTGTTTTGTTAAATTTATTTTACCTTTATTATTATAAATTTTAGCATTTTAAGGATTTCTTTTAATTGCGTAATCATAATTTTATAAAGCTTCTTCAAATTAATTTAATAGGTACAACAAGTTTGCTTAATTCCAATATTAAATTTATTTTACCTTTTTTGCAAAAAAATTTATCATTTTGAGGATTTAAATAAATTGCCTATTCCTAATACAATAGGCTTCTGCTAATAGATCTTAATTTTTTTATTATTAAATTTTAGTTTTATTGTTCTCTACAGCTGCATTTTCTAGATTTCTTTAAATTGCAAAATCATAATATTATAAAGCTTCTTCAAATATATTTAAAGTATTTGCTATATTTTATTTCGCTTATTGATTTTCAACTAATTATTTTAACAATCTTCTTAATTACTTATCTTTTTTCTATTCTCTTTTAAATAAATTTCTATTACTTGATTAATTCTTTACTAGTGATGTTTATTATTAATTTTTCCACCCAAAGTTTTCCATTAATATATTGATTACAATTTATATTCATTGAGAATTTTATTGAAATTTCCTTTTTTTATTCTTATTGTTTTGAAAATATTCATTTTCTCTTTTTACTTATTTTCAAATACTGATGAAAAAGTGTTTGAAATGTTCATATAAATTAATAATTTTATTCTTTTTCCTAATAATTAATTATATATAACATTTAAAATGTAAAACATAAAGATTCTTTTTCTTTTACATCATTCCTCAAATATAACAAATTTTTAATTAATTTTGCTCTTATCTTTTTAATTAATTTTGTTAGAATAATAGATTCTTATAAGAATTTAATTTGATATCAATTTATCCAGAAGTTTAATTTTTGAAATAAAATATTTTTAATTGCTGAAGTATGAATTAAATCTGAAAAATTTTTGAGAAAAAAAAAAGAATTGATATTGGTTCACAATATCTTCCCCTGAAAAAGACTGATTGATTTATATTAAAATGATTTTATTAGATGGGAAAGTGTTATTGAGCAAAACTAGAAGATAGGCTTTCAATAACTCTTGATCGAGAATTTTTTTTGGCTAAAAATGTCTTGAAATATGTTTTGCATTCTTATGTAATTAATAAAGCAATAATTTAAGAGAGTCAACTAGGAAATCTAAAAAGTTTATAGTATTTTTATTTAGAATTAATGCTTGTCTGTTATAATTTATAAAAACGCTTTTTGTTGCTTTTTTTGGTTATTTTAATCCTCTTTCATTTCGGTATAAATAATTTTAAAGTTTGCTATTTATATACAAAATTGTTTAATTTCATCTTTCATTAAAAATTGTGTTGCTCTAATTCTTATGTATTGAGAATTCTCTTTAATTAACTAATTTATATCGATTAGGTATGTAAATTGAAACCATACCTTTCATCAAAAGGAATGTGAAATCTTGAGTTAAATATCGTCTACTTCAATGTTTACTACCTTGAAAAATGTTGTAAATCTATCACTGAGTATATCAAAGTAGATATTCATCAATAACTTATCATGTTGTTGCATTTAAGTTAAATTTTGCTGGTGGCTCATTTGTGATGCTATCATTATTTCTGTTCTTTTTAGAGGCAATAGTTATTGTTAAGTCATTAAAAATAGACTTAATTTATAAATGAAAAAGATTCTTTTAAAAATATCTCTCTTGTTGTTATCAATAATTCAATAATTTCCAACCTTATTATCTTGGATGGGATAACTGCCAACAATCCAGAATTTCATCATAACCCTTTATTTTCCTGCAAAATCAAATTAACTATGATTAATTAATGTTATGATTTCAACTTTCTTACTATTTTATCCATATTCAATTGCTTTCTTTGGTTGGTCCCAATTTGCCATACTCTACTTTGAATGAGAAAAATCTATAATATTTAAATAAAATTCAAAGCATAATTATGTATTTGTTTATATTATGAAAAAAAAAATTTTAATAAATCAAATATTTTTCATCTTGAGATAAGACTGAGCAAAAACGATTAATTGTTAATGAAAGGTGTGATTGTCATCAAAATGATTTATTTTTATAAGAATTTAAGGATGTTGCACTATAGATTTCTGGAGTCTGAGTAAATACTAAGAAATTTGAATGAAATCGAGAAGCTTGGGATAAAGAAAGCAATATACACCATGGTTTAGTTTCAAAAAGAACAAAGTATTCTATAAAAAAATGGAATGAAAATTTACCATTCAAAATTTAAATATAATTTCAGCATTTCGATTTGTGCTTATTCACTTAATATTGAATATTTTAAAGATTGCCTAGAGTTTTAAGTGAATAGTCTGTTTGCGAAATAAAATTATTATTAATTAAAAATTTAAGGGAAAAGTTACCAAAGCTTTCAATGCTGTTATACACTTCTTCATTTAAGTAAAATAGGAAGCTATGGGTAATTTTACTGCCAATCAATAAATTATCATAATTTGAGAGTTCATTTACATAATAACATAAATTAGTAAAACACTAACAATGACTTCCTAAATAGTCTCTAAATTTCCTTTTCATAGTAATGCATAATTGAATCATTACATTTAATATATTTTAAATTGCATATAAGCAGTTCCTCTCTTATTATTTTATATATTTGATTTAATTTAATGATAAATAAATGTATTTATATTTACATTAATATTAATTCAATTATAAAATGCTTGCTAGTCATATCTTTTTTGACTTTAATAAAATTAGATCAAATTAGAAGTGTCTTTCAGAATTCAATAACTAATTATGATTTTTTAATTATTTGTTTCATTTATAAAATTATACATTATAATAATATTTTTTAACTTTCTAAATTTAATATAATTCTTTAAGCGTATGTCTTTATAATAATATAATAATTCTATTTATTCATCAATAAGTTTCAAATTAGGAATATGAAATATTATTTTTTTAATCAATCATAAAAATTTGGCAGGCTTTTACTCAGAATACTTGATTATGAAATACAATTCACTTAATACAAGAATTTTGAATAATTTATCTTGCAATTTTCCTTACTAAAAATATAACTCTATTTTTAAATTTCGATAGCAAATATTTTATTGTTTTTAGAATATGATAAAATTAAAGTTTTTTAATAGTAAAAACTTATTGACATCATTATATCAAATATTTTTATATATTGTATGCCTATGATGGTTAAAAAATCATAAATTACTGACTTAGTCTATTAAAAGCCAGATCTACCCTTTATTCATTTTTAGTGACTATTGAAGAAGAAATATCAATATTTTTACTTGGATTCCAAATAAATATAAATAAATCTCAGTATAAAAATTAGATTAGTTTTCTTTCTCATTTAAAACAGATAATTGTTTTGATCAACAAAGCCAGAAATAAAGCTATTAAAATTTTTACTATACACTAAACATTTAACATCGTTCTTATGCACCTAAAAGGGTTTTTTAATTTTATATCTTTATAAAGCAATATTCCATATTTTTATATCTCTATTATCCGTTGAAACCATAATTGAACCTGCTTTATTGAATACAATCGTCCAACATTTACTAACTTAGTTTTCTAAATTCTCTATTGACTTAAATTCAACTGATTATTAATCATACAATTTAAATGAGTCATTTTAGAACAAAAATAATTTAATTGCAAATTATACTAGATTTCAATTTATTTAATGCCTAAGCTTGTTTAATTTCTTACTAATCATTTTTTGTTCCTGAGACCTTAATTGAATCAAAGTACTATGAGGCATTTGACATTCATCATAATTTAACTTTCTACACAATATTTCCTTTTCTTTTAGTTTTGCTCCATTTCTTAGAGAACTTTTTTATACATTAAAGTTCACATTAGTATTTTCCTTGCGTTCTCTACATAAAAGTTTTTTGTTTAGTCTCAAAATTGTTATCACTAATAACCATCAAAATAGGAAGATTATGATTATATGAACAGCAAAGATCCTAATCCTTTTCTATCATTCTAGGTTTCATTTAATTAACAAATTTATACCACTTTCCAACTTTTTTGTGGCTTCCTTTTTAATATATTATCCACCACCACTAAAACTGACATCTTATATTCATTCAGAATTTTTATTTATTAATTTCACAATATGTCCCATATACCTACCTTCAAACCCTTTTTATTAAATTCACCATTAAATGAAGTGGAAAATGATATAGGAAATCTAGTTAACCATTTTATCTAAATCGATTCATTTATCTATCTTCTTACATTCATTTTAGTCGATACCACCCTTCTAAATAATTAAAATTAAAAGCATAACCTGAAATGATCTTCAAATAATTTATTCCATACTCCTTGCTTTAAACCCTTTTTATAGTAACCATCAGTTTTTATAAAAACTTCTCCCTTCCAATTAGATTTGTTCAATATTATTAAATTTTGATTATTTGATATTATTATAAATTGTTGCTACTCTGTTTAAATTTGGATCAAGTTCTGCAAATTGAATTCAAAACAACTCTTTATAAACAGTTGTAGCAATTGCATCCTTCATTTGTAGACTAACAATATTATACCTTAAGATAAATGAATCATCAATACAAATGATTCTATACTTGCCTGGAAAGGAATATGAAAAAGTCAAAAGATTATTAATATCGGTGGTCATCCACAATAAAATTTATGGCTTCAAAAAAGATGGTTATCAAACTAAATCTATTTTACTAGAAGATGGTAATACTTGAGATTCATCAATTATAGAACTTTATTTACAATGTTTTTTAATACCTGAGATAATCAAGAATGCATATCTTAAAAATTTACATTAATAATTGATGAATTTACCTAGGCTACCCATCAATTAAATAGCCTAACATAACAGAACTTGACTTCAACTAAATCAGAGTTACCTCTGCTGAGTTTTCCAGTTTATATATCTTAGGTTATAGAATTAAAAGTGATTTTATATGGCAAACCTTATGTAATGCGATTTCATTGGTGTTATTGCTAGCACTTTTATGAGATATTAAATTCACAAAATTATTTTTATTTTTTTTATCTAAAATCAATTATCAAAAATAAATAAGAAGAGTGCATTTAATAGTTTTGTCTTTATAGATATATTATATATATCGAGCATAATTATAAGTAAATTAATGTAGCTTATACTAACTACATGTTTTTCTTGTCTAAGGTATAATTTTCTTCTTTATAGTCATTCAGTTTAAAATAAATTTTTAATAAGTAGGGTAGCTTTGCTGTATATTTATAATAATTCTAATAATAGTTCTTGTATAAAGGGGATAGCTTCCCCATTGTAATAGATATTTCTTCGCCAGTTTTCTTAGAATTCAAATAGTACACCTCAATTAGAAATTGATATCACAAAAGCAATCACCATTTCTGAAGTGGCACTTACTAAATGATTATTTTGCATTATTAGCATTAGATCAAAATTCATTTTGTTGATGCTTATACAACAATAAAAGTATTCTCAAAGATTCTTCTATTATTATTTAGCACAATTTCAGATTTAGCTATAATCCAAACTAATAGATACGCTTTTCCTATGGTAGCAATGATGTATTTACTACTATCATTACGTTTTTAATAATCAAAATCCATCTCAATTTTACCTCTTTCCAAACTGAGACTCATGTATAATTCTAAAATCTTAATCTACAATTAGCAAAGCTATTCCTAAGTTACCTCAGACTTTAACGTTACTAAATTCACTGCTTGCAGACATATTCTTTATTCCTAATCCATCTGCCAAAATTTGTTCCTAAAATTATACATCAATGGCAGATAATAAAGCATTCAGGTACTCTACAAAATTGCGCATTTAGCTTCACGCATAGTTTCATTGCTGATTTTATCAAGGCATACATCAAGTGCAGTCTTATAAAAATTTAAGTCTTTTTAGATAGTAGCTAAATCAGCTCCTCCTAATTAGTTCTTAGTTTATTTTATTATTTCTGATTTTCATATAACTTACTCTTTGAGAATATATATAATCGCTGTACATAAAGTCTTCTCTTCTTTTCTAACTTTTCTTTCTTGTAAGCTTTTATTTCAAGCTATAATATAACTGAAACTTAATAAGATTCTTCCACTAAATTCCAAGGTCTTTGTAACATCTTGTACTGATCTTCTATCTTCTAACTTAACTCCAAGAAATCAAACTTTTACCTGTTGTAAGGATTATTATATTTGTCTCTCTAGCCATAATTTTATTCTTTTTCAATTTAATAAAATGATGTGAGATAAACTCGAACATCATCTTAATTAATAATTTAAGGCTAGAATGTAGAAGAGTTCATGCAAATCATAAAGTATAAATAAAGTATAATCTATTCTGTTTTTTTTTGAGAATATATAATGAGAATCTATTAAATCACTGAAAAAAAAGTGGTTTGAAAGATGCAATAGTAATAGTTGAATGTTTAAATTATAATTGGAAAATAGGGTTTGTAGAAAAAATTAAACTAAATGGGTAGTTTTTTTTTTTACTTTGTTTTTTAAACTTCTGAATTAGATATTTATGATTTAAAGGCAGAGTTACAAAAAATGAAGAAAAAAGAATATTTTTCTTAAATATGTGAGGTGCCTATGTTATTATCTAAACAGGATACAATTTAGATTATTTATTAATTAAAGTCTAAAAATTAGTTTGAGTTTAATATTCAATCGAAAGTCTTTTTATATTTTCATGGGTATCTTAGCAGGAAACATTTTGATACTTGACCCTGATAATGATGTTTTAATTGATTGTAATTATCTGGTTCTGGTGTAGAAAACACTCATATTTATGAATAGTAATTGATGTTTTAGCAAGAATATTATTTACTATTTTAATAAAAAGCACCTAGGTTGTAAAGTTTAGTGTCATTAGTTAGAAAATTTAGACAACAAATAAAAGGATAACTCTGAAAAAAATATCAAAATTCTATAGGTAGGATGATTTATCAATGAACTGAAATGATACTTATTAACTTTCCTAATTTAAAAGGCTGATTCCTTCAATTCTATTTCGACTATCGTAAAAGTAATTTAAAAGAAAAATAGATATATCAATTAATTTATACTTAAGATTTGAATATATAATTCATATTTATTCATATGAAATAAATAAAAATCTTTTTATTTAATTCAACCAATATAATTTGTATTTCTGAGTTATATTTAGACCAAATTGATTAGAAATTTAAATCTATTTATTAAATTATGAAATTTTTATTTCAAGAGGATTAGTACACAGAATCATTTAAATTAAAAAAAGCCTCTTTTACATCTTAAAAACTTGCATAATGAGAAATAAGAAAATGTTTGATCAAAAAAAAAGTACAATTAATGTAGATATTTACAATTATAGTACCTAAACTGATAATCTATTAATTAATGTTATTGGATGGAAACATCATTATCCTTTTTATAATGATGGTTAATAGGTGGTTCACACAACATTTGAAGTGAAAATCACAAAAGAAAAACAAATAACTTATACTTAGGATGGATAAATTCTTAAGTAAAAATTTATATATAGACGGTTGAAAGTTTTAAAGTTCAACAAATATAATCAATCAATATAGGATAGACAACTTTCGTCAAAAGGAAAATATTAACTTATATTTAAATTTAGATTAAATATAGTACTTTTAGTGGAAGCGTTCAAATGAAAATGAGACTCGATAAATTGTAAAATGGATAGGATGGTGGAATGGTAGATTAACAAATCTTGGAGGGAAGTGTGATGAATTTGGTTACAAAATTGGAGGATGGATAGAACCCTGTGACACCTATTGTAGGTAAATTTATTTTATTTAAATGTAGTCAGTATTAAATAACCATTTCTGGAACTTATGAAAAAAAGGGATAGAGAATAGGCTAATGGATCTATTGGTATGAATAAGAGAGAATGTAACTATCTTTATAATCTTTAGAGGAGGTGGTCATTATGATGAAATTGGAAGAAAAACTGGGGAATGGTGCGAAATTCACAGAAGCTATGATCAACAGTAAGTAATTTACTAATAATTAAGTCATAAAGTGATAATAATTGGTGAGTATAATAAGGGGTTGAAAAAAGGAAAATGGTTAGTGTTGGATGATAATCATATAATGTATATATTCAAATTATTATAATAAGCGGAGAGGGATTTTATAATGAAAATGGTCAGAAGATAGGGAAATGGACTGGAGTATCTGAAAGTTTCTAATAGTAAAATTACTATAAATCTAATTTATTAATTAGTTATATGTAATTAATATTTGATGGCGAGTACAAAAATGGTTTAAGAATTGGAAAATGGTTAACATTTTATATGGGGAAAACTGTTTGTAGTTAATACACAAAATAAAATTAAAATGTTATGTATAATTTTTTGTAGACATTTATTAGAGGAGGTGGATTTTATAATCAATTTGGGTTAAAAGAGGGGCTTTGGGTGGAGTTTTTTGAGGGAGGATATAAATAGTATTCTTTTCGCTCTAATTTAGTCGTGCTTCATTTACAATAGCTGGTGAATATAAAAATGGTTTAAAAAATGGGTATTGGGTAATCATATAGTTTAAGGATGACTAACAAAATATTGTGTAAATATTTAAATTGAAAATTTAATTTAAATAGAGGAGGAGGCTATTATGGCGAGAAAGGTAAGAAATTTGGCAAATGGATTGAAATTACAGAAAACGGCAATTTTAGTTTGATACCTTAAGTTGGAGTATACAGATAAGGAGTTAAATTTGGATAATTTGATACCTTTTTTCTAATGATTAATAAAAAAATGTTAAAATAAATATTTAACTTAGTGGAGGAGGCCGTTATAATGAAATAGGTTTAAAATCTGGAAATTGGATAGAATAACATGATTAAAATGCTGAATATAAAATGTAAATTATTAAAAGATTTAACATTAGAATAACCCATAATGGAGAATATAAATAGGGTAAAAAAATAGGATATTGGGGGACTACAATAAATGATCACGAGTAGATTGAGAAAATGTAAGGTGAAAATATTTAAAATTTTTAAGTCGAGGTGGATTCTACAACAATTAAGGATAAAAAATCGGACAATGGATTGATTTAGTAAATGAAAATAACGATGAACTAAGTTATGTAACTTTATATAACTAGTGTTAATAATTGGATGTTATAAAGATGAAGAAAAGAATGGCTAGTTTGACACATTTATTAAGTCAAAAAATTCAACTAAAACTCAGAAGATGTAAATCATCAATATGTATAAAAAGTGGAGGTGGTTATTATAATAAGGGTAATAAAGTTGGAAAATGGATTGAAATAAGAGAAACATAGAGAAAGTAAAGATATTCTATTAATTGGAATAGTTTAGATTAAATTCATGTTGGAAGATATAGTGAAGGAACAAATATCGGAATATGGGAAACATAAAGTAATTACTTAAAAGCTCGTTAAATCATGTATTTGATTAATAATAAACTTTAAGTGGTTTTGGATATTATAATAAATTTGGGATTAAAGAAGGGAAATGGATAGAACCTTGTAGATTTTCTTATAGGTATTTCTTAGTCATTTAAAAAAATAGAATAAGATTAGTCTATATGGGGTAATATAGTAAAGGTATAAAAATTGGAAGTTGGCAATTCCAGTTTCAACATTCAAATGGGGAAATTATCATAATGTAAAAAAATAGTGAAAAGTTTTAGGGACTCGGGGAATTATAAAGATGGTATTAAAATGGAAAATGGAATGAAATAGCACAAAGTTATGGAACAGGACGATAGATTACCAATCAAGGATATTACAACAATGGCACTAAAGTTGGTATTTGGGAAAACCTAGTTTTTTTGATCTTTTATTTGATTGATATTGATATAATTTTAAATATTGATTTAACCTAAATGATTTTTTATCTAAGAATAAAGATGTATAGTCAGATTAATAAACCAGCCATGTTGCAAATTATCTCACTAAAGTACAGCAATATCTCAAATAAAAGAAGATCAAATTAAATAACTTTCTAAGGATTCATAATCTCCATACCGATATCTAGAATTGAAAAATATTAATATAATAGATTATCTTATGAAACATTAGATTAATTATTCTTTGAAATTCATATAGATCTTCTGAGGAAAGATTTTTGAATCGAATAGACAGTAATATTATAATTCCCTCCGTATATCTAATTACTTATAAATATTACTATGACTTAGGATAATGTTGATAGTTTATGTTAAAAATGACATTAATGTTCAGGTATTTATAGTATGGACTTAAAAAAATTATGCAAACTACAGAAATAATTATACCAATTCTATATAATAAATTAAATCTGAAATTTAAACTAAGATATAAATTATATTGAAAAAAGAGTTAAAATTAGCAATGAAAAACTATGTTAGTATTTTTTATATTTTTTGCAAATGTTACCAAAAATTTAGTAATATATTAACAAAAATCTGCTAATTTTTTTTGTTTTAAATAACATTCATAATCCTTCCAAAAAGATGGAGTCTTAGTGACTCTTCTACATTATTAAGCACTTAATATCCAAATATTTATGCATTAAATATTTTCGATTAAATTGAATTATTAACATTTTAAATAGTTTCACGTTTTTATCTATAATTTATATCAATCTATATCATAACACCATTTATTAATAAATTAGCAATATTATTAAGGTGTTTGTAAGATTACAAATGAGTATTAATTTAAAGATCGTTTATATTATAAGTAATTAGATTTTGTAAGTAGCTTCAGAATGTTTTTCTTTGTTTGATGTCATACATTTAGTATGTAAATCTATCGAATTTCATTACTTTACATTTCTATACAAAATCATTTAATAAATTATTTATTTTGAAAAACTCTTAACCACAATCTGAATCTTAATTATAAAAATTAGTTTATTGACCTAAAATCCACAAAGTCCTTCTCATTTTTATGTATAAATTCTTGGAAATACTAATGTCATATTAAGATTAACATATTCTAATTAAAATAACTTTTTAATATAGTTCACAATTTTAGTATGATTAAAAAATTGGAGAAATGGAAATTGCATTATTGCATTCTTTTGATTTACCAATTTTATTATTCCCCTAAAATTTAAATACGTTATTATCTAATCTAATGAGAACTTAATAGATCAAAAGTTTCAAATTCTAATTTTTCAATAATTTAATTCCTTTTTTACCAAATGATTTATGTTTTAAGATTAAAATTGATGGTCCCAAAAGCAATACTTCCAATCTAAGCATTTTTAAAAGTTTTATGATTCTGAAAACATTATTGAATTTATCAATGCCAAATTAGAATATTTTTGTTGGGGAATGAATTAAACAGAACCCACCCGAAACTGCTTTACTCAAAATACACAAGCTTAAGACATAAAATAAATGAAATTTTTATTATATCTATATACCCATGCAGACTTCAATATTGATCAGTATTGATAAATTTTTATTCATAACATTTGAGTACTCTCCTTGCATCTTATTCTCTAAAATTTTCCTTATGGATCTTAACAACATATGAATTTTCTTGTTAAATACAGACAAAGATTTTATTCATCCAATTTTTAGAACAACCATTTGGGTTAGACTTATCTGACATTTCAAAATATTTATCAGATTGATATATATCATATTTTAGTCATTAATGAAAGTCCAAATTATTAGAATTTAATTTTAGAAATTCAATATTTGTGTGGTGGAACTGAATCTCATGGCATTTTATATCATTTGCACTCCCAAAACATGGTTCATTTATTACTTTTCAACAAGACCTAATTTAAATTACTTGAACAATATTATTCATTTAGCTCAGTCGCTCTACAATTATCATTCATATTATTATAGCAGGCTATTGCATTGGCTCTTAAAACATCTATTTTAGATTAATAAGTTTCAAATCTGAATCATTGGTAATTCTAAAAGTTAAAGGATGTATGATTTATTTATATCAAACAACGATATATAAAATCCTTGTATTCATCGGAAATATGACAAAGGAAATGTACTGGCATAGTAGTAGCACAATGGATGAAAGTTTGGTTTTTTCAACAATTTTATGGTTTCTAATAAACGATTCTTTAATTATGCAATCTATAAATAGAAGATATTATAATGGTAATTGAAAATTAAAAATTCTCATTTACTTTAATTTAATATAGTTGTAATTTAAATAATTATTATGAGCAGCCCCCAGTTCATAGTTAATTCATGATTTACTAATATTGCCAAAGAATATGTTTTCTTTTATTGATATATTTATTTTAATATAATTTTGAAATTAATAAATATGGTTAAATAGTATACTCTAGTTGATATTTAAGTATTGAATATAATATATAAGCAATTAGTTTAAAAATAAAAAAAGGAAATAT